TCTCTCTCTCTCTCTCCATACACTTGACGAAAAAGCTCGCCGTGCTCCTTGCTGGATCTTGACCTACCTTCTCTTTGCGCACATCTCCGTCTTCATCGCCTGCTCGGCACACCGCACCATCCGCAGCACACGCCATCGGCTCCTGCTCGCATCGTCGACGCGTCGAAACCCCCACTTCATCCTAGCGCGCAGCCAAAACATCATTGCGCGCCTTCCATGTGTTCGCATACATAGTCGCTACCTCACCACCACTCGTTCGAGCCGCCCTCTCTCACCATGGATACCCTGGACACACAAAATCTACGCTCCTTCGACACGGCTGCCTCCATGCAGCAACCCGCCAACCCACTCGATATGTCTGCGCCATCTTCCCACTCGCGCTCGGCATCCGCGAATAGCACGGCCACAGAACGTCCCACAGAAGCGCAACACGACCGCGCATCCTCGCCCAACCCGACGCCCTCCATCGACTCTAACTTTTCCAGCGTGCAGGGAAAGATGGCCGGCACGCCTCCGGACCACGAGAGGTCCGCCCTCGCACCACCCGCTGCCACTCGTCCAGATTGGATGACCGACGATCTCGACGAGTCGTGGCCAGAGGAGGATCAAGCGGCAGCTGTCAGATCCGCGCCTGACTCTGACAAAGAGGCCGCGGTCACAAGCCAAATCCCTGCCACTCCGGCTGCCACTACAGCTGCCACTCCGGCTGCCACTCCGGCTGACACACCTCGGCCGCCTATCCTCACCGCCATTGGCGCAATTGGCGCGCTTCCCGACCCCGCTTTCTCAGCAGCTCGTCATCAGGCGCGGCGAGCCTTGTTGAAGGGCCGATCTTCTGCTGTTGCAGCGCCGACTCCAACAAACGCCGCCTCCAGTCGCGTCTTGCAGGCAGGGCCTTCCACCTCCTCCTTACGCCACCCTAGCCACCAGAACAGGCGCGCTCGTCTTTCACGCAGCGCAGCGCACAACGACGAGGGCGACAGTACCATCTGGTCCGACTCACCTTCCGAATCGGACCCAGACTCGGACTCGGCATCTTCCGGCTCAGCCCAAGACGACTTTGCCAGTGCCCGCGGCTCGCTCGCAGAGAACTCGCGCATAACCAACATGCAAACCGCCCAACAGTCGCGCCACACATCGCAGCAACCGCCGCGCTCCCCTTCAGCCGATTCCGACGCCTCGGGCGCAAAGGGCACCTTCATCCACAAGGCCGACGCCTCCTCTCTCCCACCAGTCCTCCGTCCCGTCTGGCAGCAGAGTCCAGCAAAAGGCGGCATTGCGCAGAACAGAAAGGGGATCAGCGCGCTCGGTGGCGACATGTTCACCCCAATGCGCCTCCAGACCATGTTCAAGACCCCCACGCCTCCGGACAAGCCAGTCCACAACATCATGTCCGCGCTCGAGCCAAAGCCGGCATCGCAGTCTTCGCCCAGTCCTCAGCTCAACGCCCAACCGGACGACAACCAGGCTGCCTCGTCACAACCACCTACACCCGAGTCGCAAGCGCCTCCAACAACCAACGTCGGCGTGCCAACCACCGCGTTCACCTTTCAGACCCCACATGCGTCCGTACAAGCAACCTTGCACGTCAATCGAGGCATGGTGCCGTCCCAGTCGCTGCACAACATGCAGAGTCTGCATCCAAATCACATGCACGCTTCCGCGCTCGCTCGACCCGCTTCCGCCGCTGCCGACCTTGGCCTTGCCTCTCCGGCCATGCCAGCCAGCGGCAGCAACCTGGTCTCGGGTCCTCCAACCCCACACACGCCCATGCGTCTCTTCAAGTTCAACTACGACGACGCCGTCACGCGCGCAAAGCTCGAGATGATGGTCAACGATCGCACGTCCGTACATGCAACAGCTGCTCAACCCACGCGCGCGGGCGAGGTCGAACGAGAGCGCAAGCGACTCAGACTCGACGTCAAGCCTCGCAAGGTCCTCACGGGCGACCTCATGTCCATGCCCACCCTCGGCGAGCCCGCGCTGGACGCATCGACCAAAGCCCAGCCGGTTGTCGACTATGTCAAGGAGTCCGCTGGCTTTATGAGCGCGCTTCAAGACGCAGTCAGGACCCAGTCGCCTCCACGCCAGCCATCGCCAGAATGGGCAACCGAAGACGACGAGTCGTCGGGCAGTGGCGTCAAACCGCGCAGTCAGGCAGCCTTTCACCAGGGCAAAGCTGATGCTGGGCGGACCCCGCAGGCGTCTTCGCCAGCAAGGCGAAGGCGTTCGTTTGGGCCAAGTCACAGGTCATCGCCACGCGTAGATGTGGTACCGTCCGTCGTCGATCACGGCAGCCCGCAGCGTCTGTCCTCGCGCAGACTGCCTCCGGACTCATCGTTCATCACCGAGTCCAGCTCCAACGATGTTCCCATGTCGTCCACGCTCAAGTCGCGCGCATCCCTCTCGCGCCGCATCGCCGAGCAAATCCAGGCTGCCGAGTCTCCGCGCAAACTGCTGCGCCGCATCAGCGCAGCCGCAATCGCCGAGGACGAGGTGGAGCAGGAATTGGATGGCCAGCACGATCAGCCGAGTGACGAAGCCGTTGCACACCGAGACCAGCAGATCCGCCAGCTCGAAGAGCGCATCGAAAGGCGCAGACAGCTCTACACTCCGGCAAAATCAAGCGCCCCGGCAGAGACCGCGCCCGACGCTGAACCACGCACCTTGCAGAGACCGCAGCTCATTACCCTGCACGAGCCGACGCTCGACGTCATCGGCGGCCGACACCTGGACGACGAAAGCGACTTTTCCGACGACGAGTCGCGCGTGGATCAGAACGCACGACCCAGTGACCATGGCGCGCAACTGGATGCCAACACGCGCCGATTCCAGGACGGCATCGTACTCTACGACTCGGAGCGCATCCCGGATCCTCCGCTGCCGGATCCGTCTAGGATGCTGCGCAATATCGCCTCTGCCGTTGAGCTTCGCGGGCGAGAGGTGGATCGAGGGGCCCTGGCACGCGCCACGTCGCTGCTGGCGCTGCCGCCTCAACCTGATCCAGCTGGAATGGGCGTGCAAGGCGTCGAGGGCGCAGCGCGACGCGGCGACCGCACGGCATCGTCCAACACGCTCGTGGATCCGAGCTCGGCACGCACCGTGTCGGGCGACGTCGGCTCACAGCACACGCTGTCCGATCTCGGCGGCAAGGGCGCAACCATCACCCGCACGGGCAGTCTGTTCAACATCAGCCAGATCCCCGAGCAGGAGATCGAGATGTTGGGCCGCGGCAAGCTCACCTTCAACAAGCAGCTCAACCGATGGGAAAAGGTGCCGAGGTCGCGATCGTCGCACGAGGATCTGCGATCCGCCGCAGCATCGCGCAATGAGATGGTCGATGCAGCCGCTGTTCCGACCGTGCCGACCCGGAGGACGCCGATTCCTGCCATCGCCGAGGCATCCGCCGAGGTCTCGAGGAGCGAGGATGTGTTTTCAGAGTCGGCCGAGGAGCAGCAGGCTCGCGTGCAGGCGGGCGGGCGGTCCAACTCGTTCCAGCAACGCCTCGATAATCTGTCGTCCAGCAGTCTTGCGGCTGATCCGCAACAGAGTGCGTCCAGCGATCCGTTTCGCGACTTTGAGAGCTTCGGACAGAGCTCGCGCGCGCCGGCGTCGCTATCGGGTAGCGGCGAGGACGAGTCGACGCCCAAGGCGGTCAAGTCGCGCCTGTTCGTGGCTGGGCGTGAGGCGCGGCAGCCGCAGCCGACCGGCGCTGGTACGGCCGCTGCGACGCCGCCAGCATCCGAGCTGCCGACGTTGCAAAGCGGTCGAGCTGGAGGAACCCCAAGCGTCGAAACAGCCAGCAGCGGTGGAATAGGAGGTGCGCAGCGAACGGGTGCTGCAAGTGGGCTTGCGCCGCGAACGCTGCCGACGAGCACGGTGCCGAGGTCCAGCTCGTCGCTCCGCAACGTAGTCACGTACAGCCCGGACTCGACCGCCAGCAGTCACATGTCCAGCGCGGGGCAGGCGGCACACGAAGCTCGGAATGAGCGTGGCGTCGAGCTGCCTCCCAACTCTACCCAGAATCTCCCAGCAACACGAAATCGAGCCTCGGAGCCTATTTTGGCCGGAACGCCGGCACGTCAGCCGGCGTACGCGTTCGGTACGCCCACACCCAAAGCGTCGGGGTCGAGCATCTCGACGCCCAAGTCGATCCTCAAGCAGCCGGCGATGCGCGGCGAGCTGCCCGTGCGGCTCGGAGCAGGGTCGCAGAGCACGTCGGCCCATTCGGGTGCGGGCGGCGGAACGCCGAACCGAACCATCAGCTTTGCCGACCTCCCGCCTACGCGCGCGCGCGATTTAGGTTTGGCTCCGTCTGCGCGCAGGAGCGTGGGGCAACGCGCTCAGGCCACGGCAGATACCGACCAGGACGCAGAGGACGGCCGCACGCGCGCTATATCTTCAGCACTCCAGGCGCTTGCTGACCTCACGCTCGGCGATGAAGCTGCTGTGGTCGGACCGGTGGCTGCGAATACCAAGATGCTCGACCTGGATGCGAATCGGTCGCACTGGTCGTACCACACACTGCGACGACCGCGCAAGATACGGCACGATCACGATGAAGAGGCGAGCTGGGAGAGAGACGAGACGTACGACGAGCTGCACGGGTATCCGGACATGACGCTGCTCACGGACGCGTCGTTCAACTTTGCGCACGACAAGGTGCTCGAGGCCATCACGGACGTCGAGCCGTGGGAGCCTGGCTGGGACGAGCTGCAGGTGGTCGATCTGAGCGGACGCAGGCTCGAGTCGTGCGTGCGCCTCAAGGAGTTCCTTCCCGTGCTGGAGGAGGTGAATCTGCGCACCAACGAGCTGTCCTACCTCACGGGCATTCCGGCCTCGGTGCGTATCCTGGATGTGGCCGCCAACAGGCTCACGTCCATGGCGTCCTTTGGGCACCTGCTGCATCTCGAAGAGCTCGATATCAGCGGCAACCAGATCGACTCGCTCTCGCATCTGAGCTGCCTCAAGCATCTGCACACACTCAGGGCCGACGGCAACGCCATTTCATCGCTCGATGGGATCGACCGCATTCGCAGTCTGGTGCACGTCAGTCTGGCGAGGAACAAGCTTCGGGGCATCAATCTTGCCACGACGCAGTGGACGGGGTTGGAGACGCTGGATGCGTCGCACAACCAGCTCATCTCGATGCGCGGCCTGGCGGCGATGCGTCGGCTCAAGTCGGTCAACCTTGACCACAACGAGTTGGGCATGGTGGATTTGGCGCCGGCCATGGCGCGGCTGCGCGTGCTGCGCGTGAGCGGCAACGCCAAGCTGCACACGCTCGACGTGGCGCCTGCCAAGCGGCTGCGTACGCTGTACGCCGACTACTGCGACCTGGACCGCATCGAGGGGCTGGACCAGCTGGAGCATCTGGACAATCTCAGCATGCGGCAGCAGGCCGAGGCAGCCATCGTCTGGCCCGCCAGTCAACTGCGCGATGTGCGTCGGCTGTTCCTCTCGGGCAATGCCTTTCCGCAGGGTATCTCGACCGGTCCCGCAAAGGAAGCGATGGGACCTGCGATGCTGGTGCAGCCACTGCGGTTCCTCAATCTGGTGTACCTCGAGCTGTCGGCGTGTCAGCTGACGCATCTGCCCGAGGACCTCGCCGAGATGGCTCCCAATCTGCGCTCGCTCAATCTGGACCACAACCTGATCTCGACGCTGCCGAGTCTGGCGGGCATGGGGCGGCTCAAGCGGCTGAGTCTGGTAGGGTGTCGCGTGCGCAGGAGCAAGGCGCTGATTGCGGCCGTGCGCGGACTCGGCGAACTGCAGGTGCTCGACTGCCGTACGAACCCGTGTACGCTCGGTCTGTACGCGCCCATGGTGGCGCCCACGACGGTTGGCGGGGATGCAGTCGTGGACATCATGGCGCCATCCTGGTTGCCGCCCGTACCGAACGCACAGATCGTCCAGCCTGATATGGCGGCCGCACAGCAGAGGAAGGATGCACAGGCGCAAAGAGACCAGCTCGAGCGTCTGGACAAGTCGCACTTTCACAGACGCCATGCACCCGTGGCGGACTACGCGGTGGATGCCAATGCGACGCTCGCCAGAGACGCGCTGGCGACCGAGACGGAGCGCAGAGCAAGAGAGGCAGGGGCGAACTACTCGGCACTCTTCATGGCGGCCGACGCGCGGTTCGTCAAGACGCTGCCCAAGATGTTTTTCGAGCGCAGGCTGTTGCATCGCGGCCTGCTCGCCATGGCGTGTGCCAAGCTCACCTGGATCGATGGCTTGGCAGTCGCGCAGGAGGAGGTGGAGCAGGCGGACGCGCTTGTGCAGAGTCGCCGGTTCGACCGAGTCCAGTAGGCGATATACTGTACTTGTACGTTTCAATATACCTTGGTTTCTCGCCGTCCTCGATCGATGAGCAGCGTCGATTGGCAATGCGGATGGAGGCGGAAGAAGGTGCGCGGTGCGGAGGTGTTAGGGCGGAGACGGCCCGCGGGTGGCGAGGCGGCCGCGGAAGGATTCGCCGGGAGAAAGCTTAATTCCGATGCATCTCCGAGGCGGGCCATATTTTGGCTACGAGACGCCGATGCACCAAACATTCAACCTAACCTCCCGACATCCATCTATCTTGATTTCGTCTTTTCTTTCCACAGCGGTCCTATATTCAAGTTGCTGTCCCACACACGCCGTACACTGCTGGGCTGGTCAATCCGCCAACCGACGCGCGCTATCGCAACAAAGCACGTGGCCTTACGACCATCACCTTCTCTGGTGCCATACCGAGGCTTGGGCACGATGGGTGATCCGTGGGACTGCCTGTACGAAGGCATGCTGCCGTTCCACGAGCACTTTCGCCACAGCATCTCGCAGATCTCTGCGCTGCTCACCGTCTTGTCGCCGCAAAGCGCGTCGAAATCCAAGCCGACGGCGCTGAACAATCTGCTCTACCTCACCGCCTCGCTGTGTCGCTCGCTCGAGACGCACCACACGATCGAGGAACGCTTCATCTTTCCAACGCTCGCCAAGAAGCTGCCGCAATTCGGCAAATCGAGCCAGCACATCAAGGAGCACGACCAGATGCATTCCGCACTGCACAGCCTCGAAAGCTACGTGGGCGAGGTGGCGCGCAACCTCAGGCAGGCAAAAGCCAAGGACGGTCTGGACGAAGTTTACGACCATGCTAAAATGGAGGCGTTGGTGGCGAAGCTCAAGGACACCTTGTTGCCACATCTGGCTGCAGAGGAAGCGAGTCTCAGAGCTCCAGTGGTCAAGGAGGCAGGATTCGAGCTGGGTGAGATTCGACACCTGATCCGATAATCTGCAATTCAAGGGTATATGTGTTCAGAGCGTGCGGACGCTTCGTAGGCCTGCACCGTCTTCGTCGTGAGCATCGTCTGCGTCCCATTCGGAACCGTGCGAGTGCAGGCGTTGGCGATACTCGCGCATGTACTCGGGGAACTTGTCGTACATGGCCAGCAGGCCGCTCTTTTTCGCAAAGACCACCTTGACAAGTGCCACGCCCACTTCTTCCGGCACCGCCGTCCTCTCGCCCTCCGTGCTGAGAAGTCCGTCGAAAAGCAGGGCGTCCTCATCGTCGAACGGCGTTTGTTGGGTAAAGTCGGGTTGGAGTGCGGCGTCGATCCAGGCTTGCGGGATGACGCGGTGGTCGGCGACGACGAGTTGGGCGAGCTCGACTTTGCGCCGCCTGGGCACCGCCTGCAAAGCAGCGACGACGGCGGCCTTGGCAACGACGTGGAGCGCCTCTACTGCCCGTTGGGAAGTGGAAGACAGCGAGTCGGCGTAAGCGGTGAGTTCGTGCGCAAGTGCCATGAGCACGCGCCACATCGCACCGCGACACGCGAGGAAGAGAGTGTGCGCCTCGATGGCTGTCCTCCACAGCCCGAACTCGAGCGCAAGGTCCCCAGCGGTGAGTGCGAGACCGTGCGTGACCGTCCAGTTTTGCTGCTGCACCTTGTCCATATCCACGCCGCGCTTGCCGTCGGGTGTCCGAACCACCATGTTTGAGAATCCGGCACGCGTGTCGCCCGCCCCAACGCGCACCTCGCGCATGGAAAACGCCAGAAACCCCTGCGCAAGCGTATCGAGCTCAACCTGCCTCCACCCGTACCCGGCATTTGAGTCGCACGGAACCCAGCAGGAGATGTGCTGTGTTGGCGGTGCGGAGCGGCGCAGCGTAAGGAGCGCACGCATGCCGACGTCGACGACATCCTTGATGACGCCCCAGTTCTTGCTGAGCTCGCGCTCCTGCTTCGATCGACGCAGCGCCATCTGTGACGTATCCACCTCGCGTGCTCCTTCAGCACTGCCAAAGGCGAACGCAATGTCCATCGAGACGGCGAACGAGACGACGTAGGCGAGGCACAGCTCAAAGTGGCCCTGCACGTACAGATAGTTGGTGGTCCACTCCTGGCCGGTCGATCCGGTCAAGTCGGCTTTGCGGTGCGCCAGAAGCTCGGCTGGAGTCGGAACCTGGAAGGTGGCAGCATCAAACGAGGCGGAGGGAGGCGTGATGAAGCCGGCGGGCGTGTCGATCTTGGCCGTGTACTCGGCCTTGGCGCGTTGGAAGAACGCCTGGATCTTGGCGGCGCGCGGGTCTTCGGAGCCCTTTTCTTCGATGTCGATCTCGCCCAGCAGGCCGTCGAGCGCGGACAGGTCGTGTTCCGCCATGGCGCCAGTGTGAGCCAGACGAGCGTGTGTTGGTTGTGGTGGTGGCTGCCATAGAGAGGGTTGCAAGCCGTTCTTGTCAAAAGGTTCTTCTGCAAGAGCGGTCAATTCCAAAAATTGATCCCCGATGGGGACCCAGCACTATTTGGATTGCCCGATGCCGTGCTGGACCTCCACCGCGTTGATGTGGCGGCGGCTGGTTTGTGCGGTGCGGCGATGGGCGAGGAAAGAAGGCTGAGCTGAAAGCGATTTCTGAGAGAGAGCGAGCAGAGGCAGCGATGCGAGTGAGTGGGCATCAGCCACCCCCCTCTGGCACGCAAGCAGAGACATACTGTATGCACACCGCTGCCTCTGGTCTCAGCAGCCGAGGCCGCTCGTCAGGGTCCACGCCGTGCTTCCCTCTCCTCGTTATCCCCCCCACCATCCATCACAGCCGGCCGCACTGCCAAAGCAGGCTCTACATGATGCCGGACAACACATCCGCGCCGCAGCGGCCGCAGCGGTCGCATCGTCGTCCACCGCTCACCACCACGCTTTCGCTTCTCCTAGCGCTGGCGGTCGCCTTGCTCGCCCTGGCAGCACCAGCATCCGCACTCGAACTGCGTGCAACCAACGTGCGCGGCACGGCACCTAGTCTCGAGAGGCGATACCTGCAGACATATCGCTCCATATTCTCCAACTCATCCATCGGAGACCGACCGCCCAACTGTCCTCCCTGCCCCGAACCCGACTGCTTCAACTGCCAGCTGCCCGCGTACGAATGCTACCAGTTCGGCGAGTGCAACGAATACGACGGCCTCTGCCGCTGCCCCGTCGGCTTTGGTGGGCCCGACTGTCTCTCGCCACTGTGCGGCTCGCCCGCCGACGGCTCCAAGCGCTTTCCCAAGGGCGAACCGGGCGACGACAAGTCCTGCCAGTGCTCCGACGGCTGGGACGGCCTCAACTGCAACGTCTGCCGAAACGACGCAGCGTGCGCCAACTTCCTGCTCGGCGGCGAACGTCTGGGCGAGAACGGCACGTGCTACGATGGCGGCGCTACCATCCAGCAGAGCTTCCAGCAGTGCGACGTGACCAACCAAAAGATCGTCGACATGCTCCCCGGCCGCCCCCCCCAGGTGACGTTCAGCTGCGACAAGAGCGATGCATCCTGCAACTTTCAGTTCTGGATCGGCGCGCGCGAGTCCTTCTACTGCGGCCTCGACGACTGTCAAGAGTCGATCGAAATCGGCGCGTCGTCCAACAAGACGTCGTACGACTGCAAAAAGGTGGCGTGCAAGTGCATCCCCGATCGCATGCTCTGCGGCGAGTCCGGCAGCATCGACATCTCGGACTTCCTCACCGAAGAGATCAAAGGCCCCGGCAAGATGTCGTGCAAGACCGATGCGGACGGCGTGCGCAAGTGCCGTTTCGAAGAACCGGGCATGAACGGCCTCATCTCGGACGTCTTTGGCGACGAGGCCATCTTCATTACGTGCAAGTCGGGCGAGTGCATCCACTTTAGCCAGGTGCCCGGCTACCAGGCTCCCATTGCGCCCGAGCGACCCGTGACATGGGTGGTCATCAGCGCCGTCGCCGCCATCCTCATCGTCGTCGTCTCCGTCAGCCTGCTCTGGATGCTCGGCAGACACTACAAGGACGACGAGGTGCGCCTCGGCAGCGTCCGCCTGCCCCAAGAGGAGGCCGACCTCATGAAGGACCACATCCCCGCCGCGCTCCACTGGGAGGACGTCAGCTACCGCATCGGCTCCAAGGCGCTGCTCGACGGCATCAGCGGCTGCGTCAAGCCCGGCGAGGTCATGGCCATCGTAGGTGCGAGCGGCGCGGGCAAGACGACGTTCCTCGACATCCTCGCGCGCAGGGACAAGCGCGGCACCACCTCGGGCACCGTGCTCGTCAATGGCCGCAAGATGGCCGACCAAGAGTACAAGCGCGTCGTCGGCTTTGTCGACCAGGAGGACCTGCTCATGGAGACGCTCACCGTCTACGAGACCGTGCTGTACTCGGCGCTCCTCCGCCTGCCCAGGGACATGTCGCTCGAGGCGAAGAAGTTCCGCACGCTCGAGACCATGCAGGAGCTCGGCATCCTCGGCATTCGCGACAGCCGCATCGGCGGCTCCGGCTTTACGGCAGGCGGCAGCAAGGAGGGCCGGGGTATCAGTGGCGGCGAGAAGCGCAGAGTGTCGATCGCATGCGAGCTCGTCACCAGCCCCAGCATCCTCTTCTGCGACGAGCCCACCTCGGGACTGGATGCGTACAATGCCTACAACGTCGTGCAGTCGCTCGTCACGCTCGCAAAGACGTACAAGCGCACGGTCATCTTCTCCATCCACCAGCCGCGCTCCAACATCGTGGCGCTGTTCGACAAGCTGCTGCTGCTGGCCGAGGGCCGCGTGGTGTTCTCGGGCCCCTTCGCACGCTGCAGCGACTACTTCGCCGACGTCGGGCACGCCTGTCCGCCAGGATTCAACATTGCCGATTTCCTGATCGACCTCACTGCGCGCCGCACGCATAGTGATGGTGAGGAGAATGGCGTGGATGTCGAGGGCGGGGCGCATGTGCGCGGCGAGACGAGCATTGTGACGACGGGCACCAACTCGCGGGACGAATCCACCGAGCTGCGCACACGGCCCAACTCGATCGCCGAGGGCAGCACGGGCAACAGGGTGCGCAAGCGCACGAGCCGGTTGGCGAGTGGACTGCGCGGTGCATTTGCCAACGGCGAGTCGAACGGCCACGACATTTGGATGCCCGCGCTGAGCAGCGGCAAGCTGGTCCACCTCGTCAACGCTTTTGCCGACTCGGACATGGCGAGCGACACCAAGGCGGAGCTCGATGCGTTCCTGGGCCGAACTGCACAGGGCGTGCAGAACGATCTGCCGGACGTGGCGAATGACGGGGCGCTGCTGCGAACCTACAAGAAGGCCTCGCTATGGACGCAGTTTACGATCCTGTCGGGACGTGCGTTTAAGAACCTCTACCGCGACCCGATTCTGATGGTGGCGCACTTTGGGCTGGCGATTGTGCTGGCGCTCTTCTGTGGCGTCCTGTACCACGGCGTGACGAACGACATTAGCGGGTTCCAGAACCGGCTGGGGCTGTTCTTCTTTATCCTGGCGCTGTTCGGCTTTTCGTGTCTGACGTCGTTGGGCGTGTTTGCCAACGAGCGTGCGCTGTTTGTGCGCGAACGCAGCAACGGCTACTACACGCCGCTGACGTACTTTACCAGCAAGCTGCTGTTCGACATTGTGCCGCTGCGGGTGGTTCCGCCGTTGCTGTTCGGGGGGTGCGTTTACTTTTTGGTCGGGTTGGTACCGGGAGTGGCCGAGTTTTGGAAGTTCATCCTTACGCTCGTGCTCTTCTCCCTCGCTGCGTCCTCGGCGGTGTTTTTGATTTCGATTGCGATTGCGGATACGGGGCTGGCGAATCTGGTGGGGTCGTTGACCATGCTGTTCTCACTGCTGTTTGCAGGGTTGCTGATCAATCGCGATCGCATCCCGTACGGGCTCAAATGGTTGCAGCATCTGTCGTTCTTCCATGCGGCATACGAAGCGTTGATCGTCAACGAACTGCGCAATCTTAGCCTCAAGGAACACAAGTACGGCATCGACATCGAAGTGCCGGCGGCAAGCATCATCAGCTCGTTCGGATTCAACTCCCAGGCCTTCTGGTTCCCGGACATCGCCACACTAGCCGCCCTCTTTGTCACCTTCACCACTCTCAGCGCCGTCACACTGGTCGTATTCGTGCGCGAGCGCAAGTAAACACACACACGCCGCTACTCGGAAATAGATTTGCATTCATGGTTTGCGCGGGGGGATGTGGGGAGGTTTAGAAGACAGTGCCGTCGGAAATGACGTTGATGGGCGGACCTTTGGTGTCGGGTCTCTTTTCAGCTGCGATTTGGCGGCCTCCCTTCCAGGTTGCCGCCTCGAGCACCTGCTTGAGGTTCAGCTGCTCGGGTTTCAGCCCGAGTTTCTCGCGGATCTTCTCGGCGGTTCGGTCGAGCAGCACCACCGTGAGCGCTCTCCACTCTACCACCGCCGGATGTTCAGCCGGAATGGCCGGAACCTCGCCCTTGTCCAGCGAGGCATCGAGCAGCGTCTGTTTGGGCACGAGCACGCCCAGATCGACAAACAGTCCGCCGTTACGGTACTCTGGCAGACCGGTGCCGTGCTCTGCGTCGGCGAACGTCCAGCCAAGCGTGGCGGTCATGGCTTCCTGCAGCGAATAGCACATCCACTGGCTCAGCTTGTGGAACGGCACCATCGCTCCGGCGCTATCGGCGGCAGCAGAGGAGAGACGAGCCAGCGTGGCGTTGGGCCACACATCGCCCATGGCAACGCCGTCGAGGTGCGTGCGCGAAGCAGGCCAGATGGGCGCCAGCCCGTACATGAGCACCTCCCACAGCACAAAAAGGCTCACTGCCACCTTGCCGTCCACGGTGCACGTCGTAGGGTGCGTGGCGAGGTAGTCCACCAAGAATCCAGGTCGTCGCTGCGAGGGTGCAGCGCCAGACGGTCCACGGAAGAATCCATGCACGTCCGACTCGAGCGCCTGGCCGAGTTTGCTGAGGAGGGCGGCACGTCCTTCGAGACCCGTCATGGGGTTGGTGTCGGGATGCACCTGCATGTCGATCGCCAGCATATCGGACGACAGATTCTGTAGCCCTGCCGCAGTAGCTTTGTGGTTCCCACCCGGACCGGCGCTCGAGTCGGACTCGGCGCAGAAGCGACCGGCGGTAAACATGTCGAGACTAGCCACGGCCAGACCCTCGGATCGACCGTAGGAGAGACCGGTCTTCTTCTCCTCGTACGTCCACTTGGTGCCGGCACCCGCGTCGAGCAGCACCGAAACCATAAACAGGTCCACCAGCCGGCGTGCTGCCTCGGTCGCATCCACTGCCGGCGTAGAGGTGGGCGTGGAAAGCGCAGCCCACGACGAGAGCAAAGTCGTCACGCGCGGGATGTTGCCCACGTCAAAGTGTCGCCACCGCCCGTGAGGCGGGATGGACGCATAGTCCGTACCGTAGTCGCGCGCAATGATGTCGATGCAGTAATCTGCCACTGCCTCTTCGCGCGAGGCGTCGTAGCGGAAGTACTCGAGCGAACCCTGCGCCGCGGCTTCGCCAAAGATCTTGTAGCACCGCTCGCGAACAGCGGGAAGCGTGCGCAGGTACGCTACGTCGGCCGACACGCTCGAGCTTGCTGCACTCATCTTCTTAGTCGACGGGTGGGAAAGGGATGGTAGGAAGATGAAGGGGGAAAGGATGTGTGTGGCTGCTATAGAGTTGTCGACAGGGCGCGGTGGCTCGTGCGGCACCAACAGGGTTCGAGCGATACGCAGCTGCACCGCCGCCCCACATCCGACCATCCGAGCTGCACTCCTGCTGACAGTGTCCTTTACTCCACGCCGCGAGCGCGAAAAATTCAGGAGCATGTTAGGTCGCACATCGACGTCAACCCGAGCTCGAGCCTCTTATCTCCTCTTGGGCTGCGAGATAGCAGCGCCCCTTCCGAACACCCGATCCTGCTCACCTACCGCCTGCCACAGCTGCGATTCTCTGCCTTCGAGTCCTCCGGGCTCGAAGGTCGTCGCATACTCTGCCGATACACATCCCGCCAGCATGTCAAGAAGAGAAAGTCGGTAGAGATTATGTAGTGGTATCAATAAATGAGGTCGGCTCGCATCAGGAGCCGATATGCAAGGGAAGGAAAGGAGTGTGCAAGTGGTCTGTATAAATGAGTGTGGACAGTCTTTTTTCGGTGATAGGATGGTATAGTGGCAGCTTCAAGATCCGCCTGATCTCTTGCGAAGGTACTCTTCGTGCATCTCACGCCGCGTTCGAGACAAACCGGGACTCTGCTGCTGCTGAGCCATCATCGAGGCGGGTCGAGCAGGTGGCGGTGGCATGGTGGCGGCTGCCTGTCGTTCCCTCTGACGTTCGCTCTCGGCTTGAAGCCTCAAGACGCGCTCCGATAGATCTTCGAGCACAGCCATCCGGTCGTCCTGCCTGCCGAAACTCGGGCCCGGCCTTGTCTGGAGTGTCATCCGGCCGCCCCCGACGCTCTGGCTGCGCCCGTGCCCGGGTCGCAGGATGGACGTCGAGTTTCCTCTGTCGCCATGCATAGTCGAAGCGGCAGGTGTCTGAAGTGTCCCGAACTCGTCCACAGAAGCGAAGACGCCGCGGGGCGGCAAGATCCCCTTCGTTCGACGCAGCGTACGGCCAGGCTTCGAAGGCGATCCAGCATCGTTACCATCTGTGGCAACAGGCTGACTCTCCTCGTCAGCTACGGGCTCCTTCGGCTTGACGGAGTCGTCTTGCGGCTTCTGCGTGAAGAACATTCGAAGCGTGTCTAACGCTACCGAGACTTCATTGAAGCCAACCTTGCCCCGAGCTTGATTCGGCGCAGTCGCCAGTCGCCGCAGCGACTCAAGGTCGGCCGAGGTTTCGAGCACCGATTGCGGCCTTCGTGTGACGAGGGAGGCGCCCTCGCTGCTCTTCGCGTTTCTCTGCAGCGCAATGCTATGTCGCGCTTTAACCGCGGACGAAGCAGCGCTGTTAGGAGGAAGGATGGCGTCACTCGATCTCGTCAGCTTCATGGAGCTGGCGCCCGTGCTGGAAGGTGACATGCTAGCCTGCGACATTCCTCGCGCACGTCGAAGCGCAAGTGCCGTGCCAGAGACTCGCTCGGTAGGATTGAAGCCGCCGTCCACGTTCAATCCGCCGCTCGATCCGGTCCTGCCGGCGGTCGACATGCGAAGTGATCCTGATGCAATGTGGGAGCGTGGGCGGGTGGGACCCGTGGTACCACTCGATACCTGAGCTTCATTTGCAGCCAGGTTGCCGACGGAGCTGCGGCTGCTTGTGCTGGCACTGCTGCTGGGTCTGCCCGATCGCATATTCTTGTTGTATGGCTCCGCCATCAGCCTGGATCGTGTCGAGGACGACGACACGGACAGCGACTCGAACGAAGTCCGATCATCCGCCCGGGGTGGGGTCGCTGCCACCATCGGCTCTTGGGTGGCAGGAAGCGCAGAGGTGGACGCTCGGTTTTGAAGCACGACGCTATCGCGACTTCTGGGCCACGTCCGCCAGCGTTCCTCGGCCATCTGCTCGATCGAGACGGACTGTCCAAATTCGCTGAAATCGTGCATCGCAACTTCGGGTATTGCACCTGGTCGCAGCGCCCCCATGGCTTCGGGATCCATCGAGGCCGGCTTTTCCGTGCCGCGGGACTGACTCTGACTTAGACCGATGGAGGAGGCCGGGGTTGTAGTCAATTGATTGCTGGCGGTGGCTGAGTGGGCACCGCTGATGGAGCTGTGCAGGTCGTTGAAGGAGGTGTCCCAAGTAGATGAGTTGCTGGTCGAGGTGAAGCTGGCTTCGGTCGTTGCACCCAAGGATGCGCTCGAAGCCTCGTTCTGATGCCATCGACCCGCGCGGTGATGCAAAGCGCCGGAATCATTGTAAGAATGAGCTGAAGCCAAAGGATCATTCGAGCCCAGAAGCCATCGGCCCATCTCGTCGACGAGCATGAAGCCAGACGGGGCTGATGGAATGCGCCTCGCCTTGCCGTGTGCTGTTGGGCTCGAAACGTCCAGGTTGAGCCCGAGGCCAGATAGCGCTTCTTCCTCGACTGCTTTGCTGCCACCGTCTTGTCCGCCACCAGAGTTTACCGGGAGAAGGAAGGCACGTTCTTCATACATGTGAAACTGCGATTCGGCGCCGGCCACTTGGGCAGTCTCTCGCCCACCAGTGGAAGCCGAGTAGCTGCTTGTTGCCAGAGTCGAAGGAGAGTGCAGATATACGGACGAGGCGGATGCGGCCGAAGGCTGCCGAGGCACCAAGCCGATCGAGTCTCTCTGTGTGTTTGAGGCTGCTGGTGAATCGCTGACAGTCGTCCGCTGTCCCAGAGAACGGGCGTGTTGCTTAGCTGGATCGAACGGAGGCGGATGGGAGACTGGGTCGTGCATCGTCTGTGGACCGAGCTGGTCGGTTAGATCACCGCTGGGCAGAAGGTGCGTGGACAGGCTCGGTGTTTCCTGTTGAAAGATGGAGCTGAGGAACGAAGCGTCGTTGAAGCCGATCGGAAATGCCGACATGGCCGGCGTTGGTGACAAGGAAGCATTCGAAGTCGGGCTGAGCACGGACGCGCTTGCGATCGGATCAGGGAGCAAGGCTGGTCCGCTTCCTTGAACGCGTTGATCACCCGACGGCTGTTCTCGATAGGATCGGAAGGCACCCGAAGCAATAGTTGGGACAGCGCCACCCACTGTACTGGCGGACGGGAGCTTCAAGCCATCTGCTTCGCTGCCAAGCTCCGAGGCCGTGTTCGGCATGCTGCCGACAGGATGAGAAGCGTGGGAGATGGGCATCGGCCTCGGCTGCGGACCGCTGGCAAACATGTCAAAAGTCCTCTGTGATGAAGAACCTGACATAAGCCACTCCTGATCCCGCGATAGGGTTCGATACTGTTGTCGGCTGTTCGAGTGGGGCGTTGCGTCGTCCTGGCCCAAGACAGACTCGCGCACAGGAAACGTCGACCATGGCGACGCAGGAGTGCCGGGTGAGCTGAAAGCCTCGTGCCCTGAGAGGGAGAGAAGCTGCGGAGGAGCTGGATGGCGCGTGGGCGTTCGCAGGGCGTGGTCTTTTGCCGATGTGCTTGGATGTGATGCTGCCGCCGGCTGGCGTTGGCTTGCAGGGGCGGCATGTGACGCCGCAGGGCTAGCTAACGTTTTCTTGCGTAGAGAGGTTGGCGTCGTGATGTTGAGAGCGTGACTGAGGGTCGACACGTAGGAAGACGACGGCTGCTTTCTGCGATGCGAAGGAGACGGCACGGGTGATTCGCCTTGCTGATTGGCATGGCCATAGTCAGGATGTTGCATCACGCACGCCAGAAAAGCGGGTCCGCACGCACAACAGGAGACTCTCTGCGATGCCAATTACCGACGAGACGATTGTACGGCTTGTAGGAGGTTGGCATGGGTGTGCTGGGAATGCAACTGGTGAAAAAAGGTGTGTGTGTGCTGTTGAGAGCAGGGCCAACACTTTTCGAGGCGATGATGTAGCCAGGGTGGAATACAAGAGCATGTGTCGAGGCCGGCGGCGAAGCTGGCGGGAGAAGGTCGAGATCAGGACGGTGGATGTGCGTGCAGGATTAGCAAGGTGCAGGATTAGCAAGGTCGGTCGAGATTGGTGGCAGTCGTTGCGGCCAGATGCTCCATGTAGTTGTGAAGCTGGCGGACGAGACGGGCCAGGTTTGGCGGTCAATCAAAGTCTTTGCAGCAACGTGGACAGCTGAGAGTTGCGGACGAGCATGAGTTCGGGATGCGATGGGCTGGGAGTGTGTCGGGTGGATCAGAATGCTGTGGCGGCGACGGAGGCTGCAGCCAGACGGGAGGTATAGGTGGCGCGCACAAGGCCTGGTCGGTGTCGATCACGAACCCTGACGGATCTGCAGCGGGGTAGGCAGAGTTCTCCAGATAGGCTGCGGGGCCGACAAGTGGGCAGGCAAAGGCAATTTGGCCGTTCAAAGACTGCGCTCAAGTCCGCCTACGCGGTGGTATGGACACGCAAGATACGGGAGGCTCGACGGAGGTGCAGGAGAGGACGGAGGTATTGGCCGGACGCCGGTGGAGAGAGCAGGGTCGACAAGTTCCGAAGGAGGACCCGCAGCCACCAGAGCTTCCTAGCATGTGGGAGCAAAAGAAGACTCGACGAGCGCCAGAGTCGGGACCCGGCTACTGTGGGTGGAGCGCAGGAGAGATGATCGATGTCGTGCAGCTGTGCGGGACCGCCTTCAACTGCATGTGAGCACCGCGGCGTCGGCGTCCATGGTTGGCATCGGCGTAGACCAGAGCGAGAGCCGCGACGGCGAAAAAAAAAGAGAGCGGGCAGCAGAAGAAGCTTGCCGTGCAGCTGCATTCTGACGCAGATTCCTTGGCCGCAACACTCACTCTCGCAGGCGAAGAGGGCCGGGCTGAAGCGAAGAAAGCTCGCCGGACCCGCCTGGAAAGCGAATCAAAAGGCAGACCGCCGTGTGCCGGCCAACCCGGACTCGGTGCGAAGAAGAAAGCACAGACAGCGCGGAATCTGTGTGCCGTCGACCTGCATGGCCAAGCCAGCCGAAACAACCAAAAAAAAAAAAAAAAAAAAAAAAAA